GTGCACAAAATATAATTAAAAGCCAGATTGTAAGTTTTCCTTTGACGGCACTCATATACAATACTCGTATGAGATGCACGTTATTTCGGGATGCCCATAGGCGCTATTTCGAAATCATAAATGTTATTTTTAAAAGTTCCGATTTTCGAAATAACACCCATGCTCGTTATTTCGCGGTTTTATGGTATAAGAATTTTAACTTATCTGTAAAGCTTGCTTTAGATATTTAAGATTTTTAAGTAGTCAATAATGTAGTTTATAAATATCAACATGATGAATTCTTGATCAGTAACAAAAATTATGAGGCTATGTGGATGGAAAAAGAAGTTTTACAAAAAAATATATTAGAAATCTATTATCAACAGGTACAAGTTTAAGAAAAATAGATTGCAGATAAAGTATTAATAGTTAACTGGGATACTTGAAAACAATACAAATAGACAAATAAATAGGTGTACTGACAAATATATATTTAATCTTTAACTTTTATTTATAACACAATATTATCAAATAATATTATATAAAATTTATCTTTTTAACTTTTTACTCACATATTTCAAATAAATTATTTTCATCTCTGATATTTAAAAAACTCTTTTATATATAGGGAAAAATTAATAGAAAAGAGACAAATCATTTTTAGTAAAATTTTTTTAATTTTTAAATTAAAATATCTTAACAACTATTTATTCAAATTTGATAAAAATTTTTTATTTTAATCTTAGAACTATAAAATATTAAATAAAAAAAAATTTATTAAATTTAATTAGATAGTTGTTAAGATATTTAAATTTAAAGTTAAGAAAACTTTTATTTAGAAAAAATTTGTCTCTTTTCTATTGACTTCCCCCATATATTGTTTTTTTTTTTTTAAGATAACCTCTTGCTTGGTTCTCTTTATTTAGTTATTGATTAACTTTACTGTATACTAAGCCCCTCTCAGTATCTATATAGCAGTATTGTTATGCAGACACGAACCGGACATAGACTAGATGTGAACCGAACGTCCACATCTATATTCAAAACAAGATGCGGACACAGATATTGTCCAATGATCAACTAATCAAATTAATATATCTGATAATTAAAATTACAAATAACGATAATAATAATAAATTTTATTTAATAGCTGCTCGATATGTAACGGTAAGTATTGAGATAGCTTTTGTCTTAAATCATATGCTATCCGATCGAACATGTGATAGACCCAGTTACGATCACATGTTCAATTGATCGGTTGACTGTAAGCATAAGGTAATCAGGTAATTAGTAATATGATTATTGATGAAAGTATGATTAGTCTTAGCAAAATAACCGATTAATTATGAAGTAATTAGATCGTTTGGATCATAGTATATTTAGTAAGTAGGAAAATAATAGGAATTAACTTTGTCTTTTCTGCGAACCTGACTTTCGTTCTGGTTATATTGATCCCTCCCACCCTACTCGTGTTGGAACAACACATAATTTTTGTGGCCTGCTGGGATAGCAGTTATAAATAAGAGTGGGTGATGGGATCTATTAGAATTGTATGCTAAAAATCGTCAAATATGGCCTGTTAAGACGACAATCACAAAATAATGATAATTTATAGGCTATCGAACTACAGTCATAATACAAAAGGAAATGAAAAATAAGAAAGAAAGTGCATATTGCACGATTCTATAAACAATTGCGTAGGTTGCTTGATAGCAGAAGAGAAATATCCATATATTTCTTCTTAGTAATAGTTTATCTCAAAATGAGAAACAAAACAAATATATATTATCTTAACAAACACATACTATTTTCTTCTGAGTTCAGATCTCTATTACTGACTCTATTTACATTTCACAATGACCTACAAGAGAAAAAAGTAGTAGATAAAGAATAAAAGAAAGAAAAACAAGAAAACGCGAAAATAAGAAAGTAGAAACTGGTATACTTATCTTATACCAGTACCATTTTCTCCTGAATTCAAATCTTTATTACCGACTCTATTTACGTTCTTTAGTGATCTACAAGAGAAAGAATTAGTAGTTAAAGAATGAAAGAAAAGAGAAACAAAAAGATACGAAAATAAGAAATGAGAAACTGGTATACTTATCTTATAGTACTATTTTTCTGGGTTCTATATCTTATTACACCTTCGCCAACGTTAGTAAAAGAATATACAGAAAAGTAAAAGAAAATTTATGAACTAGTATTTATCTTTCTACTAGTTGATCTCTCCATTTCACTTGTTCTAGCGAAATACTAATCTAAAGAACCATTTTTATGAAACAAAAAAAAAGTTAAATAAAAAAAATTAAAAAAAAAAAAAATTAATAAAATTATCGGCAAGCGAAAGTGAGTTTGATAACTGATAAAAATTTCTTGATGTTGGACATTAGACAATATTCGCCAGACAATGTCCAACATCCAAGCATTTAATTGGATGATCATTTTAAAACTAAAATACTCATCCAATTAAATGCTTGAATGTTAGATATTATCTGGTAGACATTGTTCACCGGACGTCTGTGTCTGTCATTTTTTGTACAGACAATATCCGGTAACAATTCACATTTTTTGGACATATGGTGGACACAGACATTGGACAATGTCCAAATATGTCTGTATCCAAGAAATATGCACAGACAGTGTCTATATACATTACTGCCTATACAGTATATATATTTGGAAAATACATACTAGCTACATATATAACTTTTGATTGTCTATTTAAGTAGTCCGTTTATTACTAAGTTCTACACTAGATATCATACTTGCAATCTGACTAGAGGGTTACCTATTTAAACCCTCTGTGCTTTATATGAGTCAATCTTTTATATAACTGAATTAAAGTTTATCCTTTAAGAACCCTAACTTAGAACTTTAAAGCAGGCTCAACTAGTGAGCCTTTTGTTCTTGAAATAAACCTGCTAAAGTTTTCTGTACTTACAATCTGGTTAGTCTAGACTTTAATAACTTATACTGAGTTCATAGATAGCAACTTGCAAGCCAAAGCCACTACTATTATCTACTTCTGCCTTTGTAGAATTCACCCAAACCCCAGTACCCACTTTACAGACTATACTGTACTTTCTGAATTTTCTAAACTACTAATTCAGATAGCCCGAAAGGGCTGTGACCTGCTTCTGGTCCTACGGTTGGATCTTTTTTCTCTGGTTACTCTTCCAGTGGGCTGATTGGTAAAGTATCTGCCAAACACTTCAGTCCCGTTCAATCAATTCACTTTCCTAACTATAATCCTTTACATAGTATTGTTAAAGATCTGTACTATCTCTCTACTCAGATCTTGCCAAGTGGGTATCCAATCTTCTCTGTTCTCTGGGTTTACTATGATCTGAGAACATATTTATATAACTCATCTGTTGCACAAATACCTCATGATCTCCTAATCTTTGTTGGTACTACCAAGATTAGAAAAGTGTAGTTTATTATGTAATTTATTTTTATTATAAGATCAGACCCCTCCCTCCTAGTGATAATTTTGATTGGTTAATCTAAATCAATATATCAATACATGATAGACTCACTATATTTTCTCTCATTCTCTTTAAATTACATAATAAACAGTACTTTCCTTACAGAGATCCTGTTCTAACTGATTGACAAAAGATAATGCATTATACAAGTAGAATTTTCAAAATTCGTCGCTGGTGAGTTTTGAACCCTCTATCTATTCAACATACTACTTGGGAGTGCAACAACTTAACCACTTTACTAAGTTATCACACTCTCTTCCCCTATATATTGTTATTATTATTATTGTTATATAATTTTAAAAAAATATAGCCCAAATTGTTTTATCCTTTTTTTAAAATAAGTATTAGTTTTACAAATAAATGATTTAAATAATTAATTCTCTTTATTCACATATAAATTAAATTGTTATTGATTGATTAAGAAAATTATAAAAAATATAGTTGCAACTCTATAAATAGACAAACTATATAAAATCTCTAAATTTAGATATAGTTTAGTTCTAGCTTATATGAGCACTATATATTTTGCTCTTTTTAAATACAGATATTCTCTAAATACAAAATTTTTTTTTGCATATATACCTATTTTAGAACTATACTATATAAGTTTACTGCAAGGTTAATGATAGTATTATGTGTTATATTAAATTCAGACATAGTTATATGTGAGATCATATATTAATTTTCAAATTTATATTTTTGATATAATAATATATACCAACTAATAACTTGAATTAAAAACATAATTGATGTGACTTTATATCACTTTATGTAATATATAAAGGGCTTCCAAAAATCAGCTGATTTCAGAGTAGATGGGTGGGTTAGCCAGTATATCAGATGTAATTCTGGTCAGAATTATCAAGTTTTGGCCAAAATTAAAAAATCTTTTTAAACCAAATTATAAACTTGTTAATAATTAATTATAAAATTTTAATTATTAATATCTTTTGATCTACTAGGCCAATTTGAATGATTTAACTACCAA